GTTAGGAGCGAGAAAGGACGACACCACCCTTGTGCCAGATGATATGGCAGACAAATTGCTTTCCATTTCTGGTGCTGATGTCGTGGCGTTAGCAGATATAGAAGAGGTTACACATTCCCTTTGACTTGTTGATGTGTCATCTGAATAGCTAACTGGGACAGCTGTCCAAAGAGATGGTTGATGGGAATAATCAGAATTGTCAGGGGAAAGTTGCTGGTCCGCTATTGAAATTGGGCCCTTGGAAACAGAAAGTGGGAGTGGATTTAAAGTTGACGGTGATAGTAGCTTGGTATGCTGTCTGTCTAGACAGGAAGTAAGTAAAATTAGTACCTTGGATTCAACAGAAGAATAATCCGCTTCTCTATCAGAAGTGGTCGTAGGGAACAAGATGTGCTCTTCGGAAGGTCTGTCAGAATTATGAATAATCAAACTAAATATTAGTATAACATATAATACGTCACACAATACTAGCAAATTAGGGATTTTATATCACTAAGAGATAGTGTGCCGGCATAATCTGTTATGCATTACATTACATTAATAAGTCAGGATATTCAAGCTAGGGTTGTGCGGCTACATAAAAGTTAATCTTAGTATAAATGTATTTTTACAAAATGCAATTAATACCGCAGTGAAGGATTCAATTATTTTACAAGAAAATTTTTACAGCGCAACTTCAATAGTCAAAGGTAATACTCATAAATGGAGCCACGAATAGACACTAAAACACTTAGATCAAATATTAAAGTATAAGGAGGGCCACTTACTACCAAGTACTTACGTGACACTACTGTCACCAGTCTGAATATCCACTTCATTCTGGAGTGAATCTTGAGATGTAGCTACCTCACCAGACCAGGAGACAGGATTGCTACCAGGAGCACCAAAGGCAGATTTATACTCCGTATGCATAGGAATAGAAAAATTCGAATCCGACTCTAAGTCAGACTGAGGATAAATGTTTGACCGAGTAAATCGATTCATGAAGGTATGGAAAGGGGAAGCCGGAGGAGCGTTGATATCCCCAGTCTCAGGAAAAAATCTGTAAACAAGATAGTATATTAATCTGGCAACCTAACAGTAAGCGGTTTGGATGAAAAAGAGACCAAAATTATAATCCTATCTTAAGTCTAGAATTCTCACATCATTTTTGTAAGGGATGATGAATATAAAGCTACCATAAAACGTTGCTTGCGTGTAAATTCCCACGATTTGTCAAATATAACTAGGTAAGCATTCAAAAATAAGTCAAATCAGTTCAAAAAATTTCTTTTCAGCTTAACAAAGATGAATAAATGTCGAGATCTCACCGATAAGGCTTAACTAACACAAGATTTGACGACCAGTCCCAGACCTCGCCTCGATCATCGATTATGCATACAAGATGGACACCACGGGGGAAAAGCGCTCTGAAATGAAAACATATTTTTAAGTTAATAGTGATATAGTTAACGATCAACTATTGAGCGGAATAAAAAGAGTATATCAAGGCATAATAAATCTATCTGCTTAATAGCAACAGCAAAAAATGAATACAATATATAAATAGGACTCGATGCGAACAGCGAAAATAAAAACCCAGACCTACTTTAGGTTGGCGGATTTGGCAGCA